TTAGAGATATATCCAATCTGGTAGTCCATTAAATGAGAGTTACACTTAAATATTTTAGTTCTTTTAAAGAAAAAATTCTCCGTGTGCTATATGGGAAAACCTTCATTGCCTAAAGACCCATTTGCATAATTAAGGCAGATGATGATGATCTTTATATACATGCGCACACACACACTAATAAGTTACTAATTTCTTTTGTTTTCAAACATCATCTCAGTGGACTGTGAACGGACAACTGAGGGTTGGGTTTTTTACCACCAAACTGGTTCCTTCAGGCTCAGAGTTAACATTTGACTATCAGTTCCAGAGATATGGGTAAGTATTGTTTCTACTAGTTTTGCTGCTTCTGTTGGGGAAATAGGCTGTTCAGATATAAGGATATAAAACTTTAATATGAATTACTTAAAAGTTATATTTACTCTCAACTCTTTTATCTATAAGATATTGTTTTGGTTTTGTGTGTTTTTCTAATGTATGACACTTCTGACCCTTAAGGGATGTTGTACAGGAACTATATAATTTTCTCCTCAGCCTCATACTATCTACTTGTATAATTATATTTCTTATGTAATTCTGAAAAACTTTATTATAGACATGCCAACTCTGTCTGAAGAGAATAGTACAGTATTATAAATTACTCTGTATCCATTAGTGAGCATTAAAAGTTATCAACTCATAACCAGTCTATTTCATCTGTACCATTTTGTACTCTTAAATATAATTGGTTACCTAGTTCTGTTTCCTAAAAACAGTAACCGATGCAATAGCAAAGACTGCCTAAACAAAAAGTGTGGGAGTTCTTATTAACACTGAAGCATTAATAAAGATACTGAGGAGGTTTGAAGTATATTATGTAAAATCCCTGTGTTCCAATGACTTTTTAAAAATAAAACTACAGGCTGGTTGCGGTGGGTTATGCCTGTAATCTCAGCACTTTGGTAGGCTGAGGCGGGCAGATCACAAGGTCAGGAGTTTGAGCCTGGCCAACATGGTGAAATTCCATCTGTACTGAAAATACAAAATTTAGCTGGGCGCACACTTATAATCCCAGGTACTCTGGGATAGTTTGAACCTGGGAGGTGGAGGTTGCAATGAGCCGAAATCGCACTGTTGCACTCCAGCCTGGGTGACAGAGTGATTCCGTCTTAAAAAAAGAAAAACAAACAAACAAACAAAACCCCAAAAATTACATTGGGGCCGGGTGTAGTGGCTCACGCCTGTAATCCCAGCACTTTGAGAGGCCGAGGCGAGCAGATCATGAGGTTGGGAGTTCGAGACCAGCCTAGCCACATGGTGAAACCCGTCTCTACTAAGAATATAAAAAGTAGCTGGGTGTGGTGGCACATGCCTGTAATCCTAGCTACTCCGGAGGCTGAGGCAAGAGAATTGCTTGAGATCGTGCCACTGTACTCCAGCCTGGGCAACAGAGCAAGACTCTGTTTTGAAAAAAACAAAACAAAAAACAAAACAACAAAAAAAGCTATATTAGTCAACCAATTCATGACTTTGAAGACTAGTTTAGAAAAGGAAAAAAAATTAAGCATTTAAACATGTATTCTGCTTTTCTCAAGTGACTTCCGCTTTAGGTTAAACCAAATAGTTGATGAGAGGAAGTTCTTCTTTGTACAGGTATTCCAGTTAATAAATGTAGTAGTAGGGTGAGCTGTGGTGGCGCACACTTATAGTCCCAGCTACTCAGGAGGGTGAGGTGGGAGGATCACTTGAGCCTAGGACATGGAGGCTGCAGGGAGGCATGACCTTGCTACTACACTCCAGCCTGGGCCATAGCTCAAGACCCTGTCTCAAAAAACAAAAACATAAAACTAAATTAAGTAGTAAAAATATCACCATTTTGCAACACTTAGTAAGGTATGGGTCTTAAACAGTGGTCATTAGTGGCCACTAATATCAGAAAAAGACAACTAATGCGTGCCTCATAATGAAAGAACACAACATTACCGTTGAAACAATCTATCTTCTTTGGGTCTTGAGGACCAGTGACCTATACAAGATACTTTCTGATTATTAAGAAACCAGTACAGTTAAAATATTGGAAAATGTAAGTAAGGCACAAAACCCTAAAAGTTTTTATTTTATTTTTTTCAGATTATACCTATATCAATTAGTAGCTTTTGGTGTTTATGCTAGAAAAGCACACAGCTGCAGAGTTCCCTGAATATTTTAATTCTTTTAATGCTACTATATGATGAGGTTTTAATTCCTGTACACTGTTCAGTCTGGTGACAGTTACCAGACTTCTGGCAATGAAGGTCTTTTACATACTCCTTCACATTGTTTCATACATGCTTCATGTCTTAAACATAGTGAACTCTGAAACTGATGATCTGATTATAATCTAGGACAAATGCCAGATGGTTGTTTCCGATTCTGTCTGCTTCTCTTGTCAGATATTCAGGGCATGAATGCAGACCAGGTTCTGTGTTGGGCTCCATGTTTTTGCCTCTGTGCTTGTATTGTTCTCTCTGAGGGAAAGAAAAGTGGAAATCAAGTGCTGTTTGGGAATTCCTGCTCTACTTATTGAACAATTCATTTTTATCCCTCTAATTGCTACTATCACATCCTAAATCTATCAGTTTACTATTAGAATACTCAATTTTTTTTTTTTTTTTTTTTTTTGAGACAGCGTCTCACTCTGTCGCCCAGGCTGGAGTATGGTGGTGCAATCTCCGCTCACTGCAACCTCTGCCTCCTGGATTCAAACAATTCTCGTGCCTCAGCCTCTTGAGTAGCTGGGATTACAGGTGTGCGCCACCACGCCCAACTAATTTTTGTGTTTTTAATAGAAATGGGGTTTCACCATGTTGGCCAGGCTGGTCTCAAACTCCTGGCCTCAAGTGATCTACCCGCCTTGGCCTCCTAAAGTGCTGGGATTACAGACATGAGCCACTGTGCTCGGCCTAGAATACTCAATGTTTTCCTCAGGTAGCTCTGATCACTGATAAATGCCAGACGTGGTTTCTTCCAGGCCCCTGTAAACTTAGGCCTGTATTCTTTCCCACCATTCTTCCTTACCTCCATGGCTACATTTATTTTTTTTTTCTGTATTTGTTATTATAGTGCCTCATCCTTACGTGATGATTACTTTTTTTTTTTTTTTGAGACAGAGTCTTGCCGTGTTGCCCAGGCTGGAGTGTGGTGGCATGATTTGGGCTTGCTGCAACCTTTGCCTCCCAGGTTCAAGTGATTTTCTTGCCTCAGCCTCCTGAGTTGCTGGGATTACAGCCATGTGCCACAATGCCTGGCTAATTTTTTAATTTCTAGTAGAGATGAGGTTTCACCATGTTGACCAGGCTGGTCTCAAACTCCTGCCTCCCAAAGTACTGGGATTACAGTTGTGAGCCACTGTGCCTAGCCATCTTTTAATAATCAAGTGTTTCCTTTTAAGTATCCTATATTAATCATTTTATATCTGCTTATACTAATGCATGTTTGTTCTATGTGCCAATTAAACATTTACATATAAATAATAGTTCTCTGAACTATTGAAGCAATTTTGTTCTTAATCCATGTATGTATATGATCTCTTATTTTCATATTAGTAGGTATTCTCATAAAATGGAAAGATTGTTTATTTCTTGGCTAGTTTTGTCCTCCCAAAGAAAGATGATTGGAAAAATAATGAATATTTTTAAAAAGGAGTTTTCAGACATTTCTGTTAGTAATAGCAGACTTGTTGGAATCTCTTCAAGTTATGGTTTTTGTTTTGTTTTGATTTCCTTTAGACTGGTATGACTTTTGTGTGTAATTGTTTTATTGCCAGTAGTTTTGTATGGTTTACTTCCACATAGCTGACTTTTTTCCTATGCTCTTTGAACAGAAAAGAAGCCCAGAAATGTTTCTGTGGATCAGCCAATTGCCGGGGTTACCTGGGAGGAGAAAACAGAGTCAGCATCAGAGCAGCAGGAGGAAAAATGAAGAAGGAACGATCCCGTAAGAAGGATTCAGTAAGTTTGCATTCTTCTTTCAATTTTCACATTAAAAAATTTAAAAAGCGAGGTGGCTTTTCTGATTGAAGGTTATAAAGTCATACTACTGCCACCAGCCACCAGAGAAATCCAAGATCAGATGAATTGTTACCAGAAGAGATGCAGTTGCTATTTTTATTTCAGATTCATAGAGATTGGAATTGGGTACTGAGAACTATTAAAGTATTATTGAAAACACCTGGACTAATAGTTTTTCAGATTCTTTAAAACTCTTAAGTACAAGTAAAACATATCTTTTCTCCCTGATAGCTCACTATGTCTGCTGTACATTTCTAATCCCTTGTTATTGGTTTGTCTTTGTTTGGTACTCTAAACTTTGAGTGTTCTTCACATCTCTGAAAACCCTCTTTTGAGTGTGAGAAAAGTTTTGAGAGAAAATAGGTAACCTAAGGCTGAAACAGGAGTAGTCACAGATGCTCTTTTTATTTAATGAAACAGCAGTTGATAGCTTTATTTTGTACCCCGTCTTGCCTGAGTTACTCCTGGGATGGGGATGGGGTTCTTGGTGGGGAGTATCCTGTTACTAAGGGGACTATCAACTGCGAAAAGGACTTTGTGTTTAAAAAAGTATTCTCCTCCCTTTTTCGAGGATCCCTTTGCTAGAGCACTGTTATTCAAAAGTGTGATCCTCGGATCACTTTCTTTAGAACCACTTGGCTGGATCCATAGTAAAAATGCACATTTTGGGGCCAGTCCCTAGACCTGTGAATCTTAGTGGAAGGGCTGAGAAAATCCCCTTGTAATTCTTTTGCAGTTAGCTTATTCCTGGACTTTTCAGGAACTTAGTACTCATGAGAACTATAGATGACAGCAATTTTTCTGTTTAGATGGGGAGATAGAAGAAGACATGAGGGAGGTGATAAGAGTATAATGGTTAAAAGGTAACATCAGTTAAGCACAAATTAATTTGAGGGAATTAAGTATTAAGAATCTGAATTCTGTAAGAAGATACAGATAATAAAAAGCATTGGAAAGGTCCATTTAGAAAAAGCAGAAAAGGACAGTTTATATAACAAACACCTATATTTGCACCACCCATCATGAACAAATGCATTAGAATGTCATGTGTTCTGTAGCTCTTTCTTTCTCTCTTTCTCTCTCTTTTAAAAAATGTATACATTTTCAAATGGTTTGGCTTTGGTTTTTTTGAGACAAGGTCTCGCACTATTCCACAGGCCAGAGTACAGTAGAGTGATCACAGCTTACTGCAGCCTCGAACTCCTGGCTCAAGTGATCCTCCCACCTTGGTCTCCCAAAGT